ATACTTTTTAATTATAATATATTTGAATTTATTTTTAGAAATATTATATTTAATATAGATGAGAAGCTTTAAGAGCCATTTCGGAAAATGAATTTAAAGAAACAATACTTGATTTAAATTGATCTCAGGAAACAATATTGAAAGTTTTATTGTTTCAACCCTTCAAATCTGTTATTTTTCATGAGTATGTCTTTGAATAGTAAAAACCCATTGGAGAATCTAACATAATAAACTTTCTTTAATCTCACTCACTCTTTTTATCATTAATTATATTAAAAACAAAACCCAGGCATCTGAAATTAATGTCATTTAATGCTTTATCTTATCTAGAGGTAAGAGAAAAACTTATGCAAATATCCTTATTAAATTAGACAGAATATCATCATTTAATTGAATTTTTTATTTATTTTTATTCTAGATTTTGATTGGGTTTTCTATAATTCTATAATTTCTAATTATAATCACAAAGATTGTTCATATTATATATTAACAAATTAAAAAACCTATGACACATTAAATTTCAGTTAATATTAATATGTTTATATTCTAATAGCTTTCTTAAATAATTAATAATTAATTAAAAAATGATTGAATCTAAAATGATAGAAAAAGAAGAAGAACTTCATTGTTCTTTAAAACATAAACTACCTGTCTTAATGGTGGCATGTGATAAAAAATTATAAAGGAATCAAAGACTTTTATGCACTGAGTGCATGGAAAATCTAGAATCAAAAACCCAATTAATGAGTTTTAAGAAAGTCTTATAAAATATAGAAGAAAATCAAAAATCAAAGAAAGAATCCGTTGAGAATATGATATTGATTAACATCAAACTAATTGAAGAAATCTAAAAAGATCTATAATAATTAAAGTCTAATATTGTTCAATAATTAGATTAATTTATTGGAAATGCAGATGAATGGATCAAACACTTATTAAAAATTGGATCATAAAATGTTACTTATAGCTTTTTTGATGAATTGGACAGTTTAATTAATTAAAAAAAACTGAGTGAATTCAATCAGAAACTCTTAATTGACCAAATTAAATAAATTAACTAATCATGGAATTAAAAAATTGAAAAGAAACTACATTTATTTAAATCATTCTAAGAAACTTAGAAATGTGAAGAAAATTTAACAAAGTTAAAAAACATCTATGAAACAAAAGAGATTATAAACGAATAAAAATTAATTAAAGTAAAAAGTATTAAATTATTAACTAGATATAAAAGGAAATGATTTAAGTTGAGAATGAATAGAAGTAATTGGAATAATAATTGATGAAGAATAAATAAGTTGAATTTAAATTACTTGATGATTCAAATTAATAGCATTTATAATGTTATGCAATAGTGTTTAATAAAGATGGATCAATTATGATTACAACTGAAATTTGGAGTATTAACATTTGGAATTTTGAATAAGGAAGATTTAAATTATCTAATAC